CATCCTCTCTCCCGTCCCGCCATCCTTTCATACCACCATCCTGCCACCCCACCGTCTTGCCATCCTCTCTTCCATCCTCTCGTCTTACCGTCCCACCTACGAACCATCCTACCATCCCACCAACAAACCATCCGACCATCCTGCAGTCCCACTCCCAGCCATCGCACCGTCCCAGTATCCAGCCATCCCACCATCTGTCCTGCCATTCAAGTTCCACCATCCTACCATCCTCTCTCCCATCCTGCCATCCTATCTTCCATCCTACCATCCTGCCATCCCACCACCCAACCATCCGGTCTTCCATCCAGCCATCCTACTATTTGTCCTGCCATTCCACCATCCAGCCATCATACCGTCCCACCACGCAAACATCCACTCTCCCATCCCACCATCCCACYACCCGACCATCCGGTTTTCAATCGTGACTTCCTCTCTTCCATCCCACCATCCTACCGTCCTGCCATCCTTTCTCCCATCTCACCAACGAACTATCCGACCATCCCACCAACGACCTGTCCGACCATCCTTTCGTCCCCCCATCCACCATCCTCCTATCCTGCCACCCTAACGTCCTGCCATCCCACCATCCTCGCATCCCGCCATCCCGCCATCCTCTCTCCCGTCTCACCATCCTCTCTTCCGTCCTACAACCACACCATCCTGTCCTGTCACAATCCCACCGTCCTCTTTTCCATCCCACCATCCTTTCATACCACGATCGTACCACCCCACCCTCATGCCATCCTCTCTTCCATCTGCCCGACCATCCCATCATCCACCCACCCTCTCTTCTTTCCATTTGTCCTGCCATCCACCATCCTACCATCCCACCATCATTTCATCCCGCCATCCACCATCCTACCATCCCACCGTCACACCGCCCTGCGCTCCAATGATCGACCGGCGCCTCAGTACGGGACCGTTTGACGGTCGGGCTTCGCCGTGCCGCCCGACCATCCGATGGTCGGGCTTCGTCGTGCCACCCGACCATCCGATGGTCGGGTGTCGCTGTGGCACCCGACCATCCGACGGTCCAGCGTCACCGTGACACCCGACCATCCGACGGTCCGGGAAGAAGAGCAGCCCGTTCTGGCGCCGTCCTCTCTCCCGTTCTGGCGTCTTTCTCAGCCCGTTCTGGCGCTCTCTGTGTGCACAGGATCCTGCTGTCATGTCATCCTACCAAACCGCCTTCCACCCATCCCGCAATGTCACCCTCACGCACATCAAACAAGCGGTGATAGTCCGTTTCATACCTCTGATCGGTATCAGTTGGGTCCTTCGCCAACATGGGTGCGAGTGGGTTGTGTGTCGTGTATGGGAGAGTGTTGGCCTACGAGATCTTTCCGCGGTGATTCGGTTGGGGGTGGGGGACGACGAAAAGGGAGGCGCCCATCCTTGACCACCATGGTTGGGGCGGGGGGGCAACATGCATCCCCTCTGATGGCTGGAGGGAGACAACGAAGCTATATCCGCAGTGGTACCCTGTATAAGCCTCAGGAGTAGTGGTAGGCAGGTAGCAAAGGTGAATTGAAAGAACTCCAAAGATGATGAAAGATGTGAGAGAAAAATATAGCGTAAGAAAGGTGCATGAGAAAAAAAAAAACGCCCGACAGAAAACAAGAAAGGTGCATGAGAAAAAAAAAAAAGGTGCATGACACCAATGGACAGTACCTGGCAGCACTGGTGTAAACGACACTTTGCACAATAGAAACCACACTTGGGGCCTCGCCACACCAATGTCGAAACGGTGAAATTTTCGACAACTGTCAGACCACTTTCGACATTCACCGTTTCGACATTCACCGTTTCGACATTCACCGTTTCGCCACACCGCAGTTTCGTTTCTAGAAAAGGGAAGAGAAAAAAAA